CCCGCCACTACCCGACATTGAGTAAGACAGCTATGCCTCGTCCAGCCATCTCGCGAAAACACACACACACGCACACACACACACACGCACGCACAAATCTTGCCGGACTCAGAGAGCGGGAGACCGTCTCCCTCCTAATCTCCCTCAGTCTCATTCACACCCGAGTTCCCACTCGGTGCTCATGGATTTTACGTTCCTTTTTTGCTTCTTTAAATGCACGTGTGGGCTCACCCGAGCTTAAAATTTTCAAGAAGAAGGAAGATAATATATTGGTAATGTCAAAAATATTTATTATAGTAATTGTGTTTTTTGAGAAACTAATTTTTGTGAAAATTTCCTTCAAAAAGCCACGCGAGTGCTAAATTCATTATTGTGCCAATGTACTGGTTTTTAGTACAGTAACGGAAGAGTTCAATATTCGTATTATTTGAAAATGGGTGTTGGTAGTAGTAGTAGTAGTAGTAGTAGTAGTAGTAGTAGTAGTAGTAGTAGTAGTAAACAGTTTTTATTTTTTGTGGTAAATTTATGACTATTATAAGGATTGGTTAGTGTTCTCAACATTTACAAACGTGTTACATTTCCAAGAGATATTCGGACACCAACCAAGAAAAGTAATAAATATATCATCATTTGTGGTCATCTACTGAAAGGACTGGACATTTAAAGCTCTTCTGGCTTTTGGTGAGTACACATTGTAAACGTACTGTTTGTTGATCTCTTCCATTTACACTAAACATACTGTGTGTTCTTCTCTTCCGTTTACTTCAACACATTTTTTTTTCTTTGACTGCGTGAAAAATGAGCACAAGACTGAAACAAGTGCCTTTTAATAAACTTTCTTTTAACAATCTCGCAATGAACGGTTTCATGATAAGCTATAAAAATTTTGAAAATCTAGAGACGTGTTAATATATAATATCATTGTAATTGTGTTTTCACGCCAGAAGAGACAAATTTAGATCATTAATGAAACGGGCTTCATACTCAGCCTGTTTAGGCCACCCCGAGCTGATAGGGATACAACCTATAATAATAATAATAATAATAATAATAATAATAATAATAATAATTATAATAATAATAATAATAATAATAATAAATATAACGTCCGATAAAACTTTTATCGACATTCGGGAATCGAACACGGGTCTCCTGCGTACAATAGCGAACTTCTACACAACAGACACCAGTGAATACGGTTTCCAGAATCATTGTTAACAACATCACAGCAAACTACAGTTGAACTTTGAACCTGCTCTAACGGCCACCTGTCTAAAACAATCACCTGTCTAAAACAATCACCTGTCTAAAACAATCCACCTGTCTAAAACAATCACCGGTCTAAAACAATCCACCTGTCTAAAACAATCCATCTGTCTAAAACAATCACCTGTCTAAAACAATCACATGTACAAACGACCATTTCCCAGCCACTCCCTTGGAGCTTTTAACCACTATTATGGC